TGACAGTCGAGAGAATAGAGGTCAGTTTTATGTAAAGCTGCAGTCAGTCGTACAGAAATACCCAGGAAAAGACCTGACAATTCTGATAGGAGAGCCTAAACGTAAAATTCGGCATAAACAACACTGGATATGAAGATATCATGAGACGACAGGGACTGGGAGAAAGAGACGAATATGTGAGAGACTGGCAAACCTACGTGCCTTCAACAAAATGAATAAAGATGGGATTATTTTCCCGTACAGTCGCATACACAAAGGCATATCAATTTCACCTGACCACACTATGAGGAACCTGGTCAATCACATCTGCACCAATAAAATTTATTACATAATTGGAAGTCGTTAGAAAAGAAATGGAAGTTAATATAACTGAAGGTCATCACCTGGTGCTGCCTAAGCTAAAATGAGGCTAAACAGCCATCGGGCAATTAAACAAACAGGATCACAGAAGTTTGATACAGCACTCCTTCGAGATGCTAACAAACTCAGCGATTCTGCAATAACTAACTGCAATGCGTATCAAGCCTTACAAGATCTACTCAATGAATATGAGGGCACTATGGAGAACAGCTGGTAATGGATTAAAGGAGGAATAACACCAATGAGTCATGAAGTACTGGTCCCTGAGAAACACTGGAACACAGAATAGATCTTTGAAGACAGCCCGGATGAAGTTCAAGAAGGGAAGAACAGGATTACAACCAACATTACCACCCGAACAGGAGGTGAGAAATCCAGGACACATCCTGAATGCACAGAGGCAAACAATCACGTGGAGAGGAGTATTGGATGTGGTAATAGGAAATATGTGGAAGAACTAGGAATGACGCCAAACCAAGCTGCAAAAGAAGAAGGTAAAAGACAACTACGTGAGACTGACAAGGAAATAAAGTGAACTAGAGCGACCAGTCATGAACGAAGTAGGCGAATCAATTACTGATATTTAAGGACAGTGAAACATATGAGTAGAACACATTGAGATGTTCTTGAGCAGATCGACCTCTTTGAACCCACTGGAAATCAAAGCAGAACACACAGACCTTCTTGAAGATTATGCCGCGCCAACGGTCGATGAAGTCACTATGGTCATCAGATCAACCAAGAGAGTGATAAGGCAGAAGGACCAGGCAGCATTCTACCTGAAGCACTAAGTTCAGCGTAGAAGTAATCGCGAAGATGAACCACATCCTCTTCCGAAAGATTTGGATAGAATGACAAATACCGACAGTCTATAATGAAGGATACTTCATCAATATACAAAATAAAGGGGAGTTGAGCAAATGTTAGAGCTAGAGGCATCACACCATTATCAGTACGAGGCAAAGTCCTCAACGGAGTTTTGTTGAACAGAATGAAAGATCTAGTCGACGCTGAACGTCGATACCAATTGGCCGAGTTTCGTAAGGATCAACCATGAACCGATACAGACGAAACAAAACGAATAGTTATCGAACTATCATTCGAACGGAACTCGTCGTCACATATCAACTTTCTTCACTAAGAGAAAACCTTTGACAATGTGGATTGGAGAACATTATTGAACCTTCCTCGACATTGCAGTTTAGCTGGGAAGATTTACACTATCATACGGAATTCTTGCGATGAACTACTTTGCAAGGTCGTTAATTGAGAGTAACTCACAGATGCATTCCAAGTGAATACCTGTGTCAGATAAGGCTGCTTACGCTCGTCCTTCCTCTTTCATCTTGTTGTTAACTAGAATGTGAAGACCTCCACATCTCAGGTGAAGCACGGAATGTAGTAAACAGCTTGGATGCAGTCAAACGATTTGGATTTCACAGATGACCTGACTCTTCTATTCCATATACAGGAGCAAATGTAAGTGAAAAGAACCAGTTTAGCAGCAGTCTGTGTGGGAGTAGGTCCTAACATCCACAATGGAAGATTCGAGAACCAACTTGATCACACTTGATCGAGAAGCCCTCGAAGTGATAGAAAGGTTTTCTTACCTGAGCAGCATCACTGATAAGCAAGTGGGACCTTATGGAGATGTGAAGGCACAGATTGACAATGCGATGTCAGCATTTGTACAATTGAAGAATATCCGGAACTCAAAATAACTGTCTTATAACACCAACGTCATAATTTTCAATACAGACTTCAAGACAGTTCTGTTGTACGAAGTTAAATGTTGAACATCCACCACCCCCACCATCCACATATTTTGATCGGACACTATCAGCATTAACGTACTATGAAACGAAACAAATCAGCTTCCAGATGAAGAGGAAATTGGAAAAAAACACTGGACGTGGGTGGATCACGTTACAGAAATTTTCAAAGTGCATGAGGAACCAAGTTCTAACTTGGAATCCTCAATGAAAAAGAAAACGTGTCAGACCAAATAACATATTCAGCCTGGAATTGTGGGTAGACATCAAAAGAATAAATAGCACTTGTGAACAACTGGAAAGGAAAAAACAAAACAGTGACTTATGCGCCGAATGGTTTTAGTGGCCCTTTATCTGACTCCAACTGGATCATATGAATGTTATTGAAATACATATGTCGACTATCCTCGTATGCATTAATCGACTTAATCCGCGTTAGTGAATAACGGAATTAAATAAACCAAATACGGGAATAGATTTTGAATATGCATTTTTCATGCACCCATTGATTTGAACAGGCAATCAGGGATACGAAATAAAGGAGGAAGTTTTAGGTTTCTTTCACAAGAATGAATACCCTGGGTTCGATCTCCGCATGCAGTTTTGTTTATAGGGATGGCTAAGGAGCCCCACTTTGGGACGAGACGACTGTTCAGTAATTTTAGGTTTTACTGTTCTATAGTTAACTTTATCCAGAAAAAATAACATTTGTTTGTTCGGACTTGTTAAATACACGCTCATATACCAAAGAAGTGATCGGAAACCTATTTCAATAGTGTCTGACTGTAGTTATTTTCGAGGAGGATCAGAATACTTTGTTCATTTGCCGATTAACTCCACTCATTAAATTACTTGAAGCATTACATTTGTTTGTAATCATGTCAGTGCATCGATAGTTTTTGAAGCATTTCTGTCCTTACCAGATTACAATGAACAGATCGAAATATGATCCTGTACTATAGTGATAGGGTATATTGTTTATTAATAGTGATACAAGGTTTGAGTGTTAGAAATTCTAAAAACCGTTCGTCAAGTATACTGAGTGCTATGAAGCGATCAAATCAACCACAAATGCTCAGTTATATATTTTCATCGATTTAGTTAACTTGATGGCATTCTATATTTTTTCTTGTCTTCTAATTCCTTCATTCTTCTTGCTTTACTTTGTTGTATTCGTTATCATAAGTCGATTATACTGGTCTTTTGTTTGTGTGACTAGCCATGTATCTCAGGCTATGCACTTTGCACAATTTCGATACGGCAACTAGATGAGGTCGATCTATAGAAGTTTATTAGAAGTACTAATTACTCTACGTTTTATACAATATCTACGTTACAAACTTTGGTCATGACCATATTCAAATTCGCACTTCAGTTTCCATTTAAAATTTATTTACTTTCATTTGTACGTTTATTTTAGACCTGTTCCCTACTGTTTTCTTAAAAATCAAAAATGAAAGTGAATGACTAAACTATTAAATTCATGTTATAATTTTATAAGTTAGATAGAAGTGAATTTTTTGTGTATTCGCATAGTAAAGCTTTATTTAGAATAGATGATATTCAGTATCAAATAGAACAAATTTCAAGTAAACAGTGACATTTACCTTTTTAAACAATTTTTCTAATTACATACTGTGGTTCTGGTTAAACTGAGAAAAGTAAGAAGAAGAGCCTAGACGAAAAGTACATTAAACTTGGAATGAAAAAGAGAGAATAGAGAACAAAATATCAATGGCAAACATGAACGCGTTCACGATTAGAACATGAAATTTATTAAAACGTTTTGGCAGATTTTAGTGAATGGTCTGCGGTTTGAAATCCAGATAAAATCGGTTTGCAGTATTATTCCCTTTTTCTAATGAAATCCTGTGAAACAACTTCAGTAACTTTCTTTCTTTCTGCGATTCAGAAGCATAAACAGTTCATCTTAGAACAGAATTCAGTAATCTTAGTTTTAATGTCTAATGAATTGTTGTTGAATCATTGTATAAGTTAACCTTTTCTAGTTTCTATCATTCGAATCGTTTTTTCTGATGTGTTATATTCACAGAGTTGACTTAAAAGCACACACAGCATTACAAGGTATCTTCGAATTGATGAACTACCTTTCGAGATATGTATCATCCTTAATTCCGATATTTTCGCCACATAAGGTAATCAGTTATCTACTGGCCTAATTGGAACTAGCTATACAAATGTTCAACTTTAATTCCATACTTCAATCTCATTCGTGTAGTTTACTTTTGATATCCGGTACGCAACAATACGATTGCGTTTTCATTCATACGTGTCCAAACCAAGTTCAGATTTTTTTGTAAAAATGTTTGGTATTAGGTAGATAATTTTCACCATGGTTAGGAATTTGTATTTTCCAATTAGTGAAAAAAACTAAGTTATTTTTAATGACATTTCGTTATTTAGTTTTAAAAGCTTTATCAAACAAATCGGAATTTACAAAAATCTAAGTTTATCTATGGTAAATCGGTCAAACTTCTGAATAAATAATCTTGTGATGTCAAGTGAATGGACTGGTCAAGACAAAACGGGGTGTAAATTGTTGGGTTTGATATGTGAATAAATTCTAAAAATGTGATTACAATTTTTCCGTTTTCCACATTTATATCGACAATGTTAGTTAGTCTAGATAATTCTATCCAATGTGAAGTGTTTCTGCTATAAGCTGTTCTTTGTGACTTTTAATACTTTTCTGAAAGAGTTCAATATTGTTACCGTCAATCGTTTGGTCTGATATTATAGTATGTAGGCCAATGGACGAAGATTTTTCAATCTATAATATTTGGAAAAAGCGTTATATGGTGGGACAACTGATGTAAACACGATTGTTTTTACTTTCATTACTTTCAGGGCAGTAGGGATGGAAACTATAGCATGCTCTGCTGATCTCAGTTGGCCTACTAGTCAGCTCGGTAATCTGGTCCCATTCGGAGCTAATGATACCACTGGTAAAAATGTCACATCAACAAGTAGTATAGAGCATCCAGGACGTTCTGGTGGTCCTGGTGTAGTGCCATTAAGATTAACACATTTAGTAAGAGATTTAACATTACCAGATGTGACTGGTTGTTGTTTTGAGTTACACAGTTCAGATGGTCGACGTTCATGTCTACTCCGTGCACCAGATGCTCAAGAAGCTCGAATGTGGTTTGATGCAATACACAGTAAAATGAAAATTATAAATAAATCTTATTTGGCTGAACTAAATCGTCTACTTCCCCCAACCCAAGTAAGCCATAATAGTTATTTTATCAAAATTGTTATTTACTTCACAAAATAATTGTAGATAATTATATCTTATTTCTTGTTAAAACAACTCTATTTTTATCCGTTCTACTACGGGGAGAACTCATTGAATCAGAAATAAAAGGGCTAGCTTTAATGAATACAAAATACCTGCTATAAATAAATTAAATAACTGCTTTTTTATTTCTCCAAATAGAAATTAATATGAGCTAGCTTTCAGATGATACACGGTTCAAACAACAATATAAATCTATTTGTATGTCATTTTTTATAAATTCTAGATATTGGTTATTCCCTGCTATATAATGTCAACGAAAATATTTTGCATAGTTAATGTCTGTAAACTGATTCAGAAACATAATCCAGTTTTAAGAGCTGTTAGTGACTGGAGTAAAAAGTTAGACATTAGTGTATCAAACGTCCCGATTGTAAAATAAAAGTTTGAATTCTTAACAGATAATGGATTTCCCTAATATTATATAAACAATGTACTAATGAGTAACAGTGAATGTTTAACTAAGGTGTTGGGCTTTCAGTACTGAACATAGTGCCCCTTGATGTACAATTTAACTTAGTGTTTAGGTAATCTGCTGAATTAGATAAACTCCTATTAGTACATATGATTTCTGCATGATATTGTCTTCCATTTGATAATGAACTTATATGAGCATCAATAAGCTTCATCAAATTGAAGAAACAAATTATTACAATTCTAACTACTTTAGTAATTTTTTCACAGCTACAACTCACCGCTAACAGTCCATAGAACTAATCAAATTTTGGTATTATTGAACAACTGATTAGATATCAAATCAGTTAATCTCTGTGACGGTCCCTAGTTCGGTCTCTAATTGCATTGTGGGAGCCAATTGTAAAATAGTCCTAAGTTTCCAATGATTATCTAGTTAAGATCAATCGATTATGTGAACATTTTTCTTGTTTTGCTATCTCCACAATCTTCCAAGCTAACTGATAATATACCACAGAAAATCTCAGAACATTTCGTTTACTTTCGAAGGATCAGAAGCTTAACAAATCACATACTGAATATTAGGATTTCATGACATTATCTTTCCGACAAAAATGTGTAATTTTATGTCGTATTTCAGTCCAAATACTTTATTCCACGCACTTATTTATACAAGTCAAAGGCAAGCGTAGACTTCAGGCTTCTTTTCATCGGTATCTCTGGAGCACTCCTCGTATATGTTTGGACTATCAAGTGAATAATATTGAGATCAGCCACACGGTACTAGGAAAGGTTGGTAAGTCGGTTGACGGGGATTGTAATAATAATAACAATAGATGTGTCTTTAAGCCACTCAGCTTAAAGTACAGAGGTGGTATCAAGATATTTAGCATGTGTGTTTCAATCAAACAATGATAACTCATAAAATCAAAACAATAAATCAAACATGAAATGACCAGCTACTTAGTGTGTCATGTAAAGAGAACAATGAAGCATTTGACAAACATTGAGGATGTTCCTCTATTGACTATTACTAAATAATAACTAGATTATCAATTTATAATCCATTGAAGTGAACGATAACTTATCTAGTCTAAGCAATGGATAAGCAGAACGTTCAAATTACGATTCAAATCAGATAATGGCTAGTAGTAGAATCCACTTAGCCACTAACCAGGTAGGTGTGCCTGCAACTCCTAAAACTTATCGGAGTAATCCACTCCGGATGCACACGTATCAGTGGAGACCAACCAATCATAAATGTTAACAACGACCGGAGAATACAAACCCTTACTGTGTCGTCATTGGAATAGTAGCATCACTCCCGACACAGTGAAATTTAAAGGTTTTATGCTTCTCAAAAGAATTTACGAAGTACACTTCAAAACTGATTATTTGTGAAGATGAAGATTGTGTCATACCGCATATCAGATGGAATTTATCAATTGACTTGGAAATATCAGACTTATCATAAAACATTAAGGTCGTAGATTTAAATCTTTGTGTGAGTTGTTGATGGGTAGTACAGTCGAAGAGCCTCTAGCTAGAATCGAACTATTGTCCGATAGTCTCCATTTCTCAATAGTTATCTGACAAATCTCTGCTCGCCACGATATACATGTTCAAAGTAGTGTAAAACGTCGTCACAATATCGCTCGAACGAATGAATAAATGAACATTGATGGTCCCATCCTCATTACTAACAAGAATTAAGAGTAATTGTGGATTCTCAATTTCATTTGCCAATAAATGACAAAAGCACCACAGCTCACTGTTGACTATATTGTTTTGACAACTCTAAAACAGGTCCAGTTTCCTTCCCAACATTTTGCTTAAAAGTATTTTGTAATGAGAAAACCTGAACTTTGTCTAGTGTTGTGTTCTGTCTTCTATTATCTGTTCATTTGTCAGGCTTTGATTCAACTAATTCCGTCTCCGAAAGTGGTCATGACTGAGTCGTTATATCAACTGGAATAAGTAGTTATATGATTAACTATATATCTCCTACAAACTATTACAAAGTGAAATGGACGCTTCTCATCAAAATACTGTTACGAAATCAACCATTGAATCAAACCGTTCATATCTGCTCCGTATCTGCAGATATTTAAATTACCGTTCGAATACACTTGTCTTATTATTTTGCTGTGAGTTTTCCAAACACAGTTGCAGTACATATGTAACAAGGCGTTTGTGAAGATGGAAATTCTCCCATACTACTATTCACTGCTTTTGTAAACAGGATGGAATTGTGAATTATCTCAGCCTAGAACAAAACGTTGTAAGCTTAAAGTAGAAACTAGAAATCGTTCACCATGTATTCACAGTACATATCCTTATAAGATCGGTATTAGACCTAAGACTGTCTTCTAGTTATTTTACACGTTTTAGACCAGTTTAGAAAAACATCGAAATATCTTTAATGCTTATCAATTGACGATTATCCATGGGACTTTCTTCCATTATTTAATCGCTGAATGTCACTCACAAACATCATAGCTCAGTGTGCGTGTCATTCGCTCTAGCTCCACATACTGGTAATATCATTGTTGAGTAAATATCAACGAGAAAGATGTAGAAGATTGAAAGGCCGACCAATTGTTTCAGGATGAAATTTTGTTTTTGATGTCTTAACAAAAGAAGTACTTTTTCATGTTGTTGAGTGTTGTGTCAAAGAACTGTAAAGTTAGGTAGATCATGACACTGTTGTATAATAACAAAAATACTTTATGAGCTTGTCTAGTTGGGTTTACCAAACCATCATAAAACTCTTACTTCTGGGAAAGAATAGATTCAAAAAGATGCAAGGAATATTCTTTACACACATCTTTCAAAGAAATAACAGTAATGAATTTGTATTGAATTAACGGAGTGAAGCCTATGAGGCCTTAATCAATGTCAATCGGTGACACTAATGATCACAACACTGATTTGACACTGGAAAATGACCAGCTTTTCTTCGAAATAATTACCAAGGTATCAGAAACATCTAGATGATTTATTGGCTGTCTATCGGATGAGTAGATGAAACAATGGAGTTATTTAACATGTCACTATATAAAGTGACTGTGTAATGACGGGATCTACTTTCATCTTCAGTTGCTTTAGTAAATATGATATAACAGAGTGAAATTTATAATGACATTTTACTTCCAGGCTTTATTGTTCTTAATATATCGTAAGAGAATCTTTAGACCAACAGAAAAGATAACAGGGCACAGTGGGAATAACCGACCAACTGCCACCAATCTAAACTCTCATTGCGCCCTGTCGTGTTTATTAAACTCTCGAAACAACTTTCCGAATATCTTTACTCTAGTTAAGCATGCAATACAAATATGTTTATAAACACTGTTTTAAAATCGTAATTAGTTGAGAATAAAGCTACCTAACAATAATAATGCCATTAATGAATGACTAATTTATTCCGTTACTAAGTTGTTTAAGAACTATTATTTACATCCTATAAAAATGAAGGGTTTCCGTCAAGAAAATACAACAACAACAACAACAACAGAGAGAGTTATTACTGCAATTAAATGGGAATTCATGAATGAACTGAATAATTACAGAGAAAATGATTAGGAAAACATACCTTAATAACCTATTAAATATGTATGTGCATACAGTTATCTTGGTCAATTTTTACTCATAAATAATTACTTGTTCGCTCTAATTGTGATAATAATTGGCTTATATTATTATTATTATTATTATCTACGGAAAATGAAAATGAAGTCACAATTGCATATAATACGATTAATATTAATAATGTCAATAATTATAGCAAATAACTGTAAATTGTATTTCTGGGTGAAAAGTGTATGATTATTCAAGTTGGAATAAGCAAATGATAGAAGTCGTTAAATGCTTGAATCACTCTGATCTTGTCTCCGCTCAACTTCTGTCAGAATTTCTATAACGAAAATTAAGTCTTCCAATTAGGAAGAAGGTCAGATAGTTTGAACATGTAATATTCGAAGAAAAAATTACCATCCTATGGTGTTTTATAAAACATGTGAGTGACTTTGATGATAAGGTATTTAGAGAGTGATGAGCATACTTGAAAACTAGTCTCAAATTCTATGTAACACCAACTAATGAATGAATCATATTCTTGAACCCTTGTTATCAATGTTCACATCCTACACTATTCAGAACACGGATTCTACGAGTTCGAAAGATTGTAACGCGTAACCTCTCATAAAATTACTGGTAATAAATCATTTTTGATGTAGATTCATCTTTGATCGATTCATATTCAATAACCAAGTGATAGTGATTTCAAATATGAGAGGTACACTATTATTATTACTGTTATTAATATTATTATTATCAAACTGTCACGAGTTAATTATATTGAATCACCTTACTAAGTTGTGCTAACGTCATGAAAACTAACCAGTATCAAGTAGAACTAACTTCTATCAAGCTGTCGAACGAGAAAGGCAATACAATGTGGACTAACCTAATGTTTAGAAGCGGTGGAATAGAGATTGAATTAGTCAAGTTTCAAGCACTATGTTACACGTCTACCAACTTTGGTTTAGGAAGTCGGCCGGTACCACTTCTCATTCATACAACGTACCTCAAAGAACGATTTATATAGTCATAATACAAGTGATACGGGACAAACTGTGATCAGTGTAGTTGCTAAACCAGTTTGAGATATGTTTTACTTTCACATAACATCTGTAATTATCACTAAGTAACAAGAGAAGAGGGTTTCCCAAACAGATAAACTTTTATATCGTACAAGCAAAATTGAGTAGAACCGCTACAATTAAGATTCTATGCATAAACTGACAACACCTTAACAATGTGTGTCATCCTCCGTTTTAAGCCTGAATTAGATAAACTTTTAACGGTGTACAAATAAATTTGTTTAATCAGTTTATTGAAGTTTTCATATTTCCCTGATTACTGAGAATAGGGTTATGAGGAAGGGAATTTGAAATATACTTGTCATACAGGTAAAGGATTACCTTAACTAAAATGTGGTCAAACGGATGCTATCTATGATGTATACTATCTGCTCATTTTAAACGTTGATATATTTTTCTATGATGATTTCCTTAAATTTAGTTCATGAGTAAACATCTGGGAAGCAGATCGGTGACCTAAAAGTGTGACATACCTTATTCCTTTGATGTCTTTGCCAATTGAGTAATGAATAACCGGGCTTTACTCATTATTAGGTTGTGATTGTGATTAGCTTTTAACTTAATTTTCTGACAATTATTCAGAAATCTATATGCGGAAATTATTTACTTGTGTAATTGTTCATTCAAAGAGTATTTGGAGTTGGTAGCGAAAATTTCTACTTTTAAACAGCAAACAATTCCAAAAAATTTATAAATTTAGGGGAAACTACTTTTTATCAAAGGTTTGTGGTACTCATAAAGGAAAACATCTGAAGCTTTATGTGCATATTAGTTAGTGAGAACAATAATGACAAAAGATACAGATGCAGTTAGCAAAATCAATGACAATCATGATGTTCATTCCTGTTATTTTCTCATGAAGAGGTTCATATCATTATTATGTAAATTTCATTCGATAGAATTATTCAAATTTATTTTTTCCTTTAATGGGTCTGCTAAGCAATTGACTGAGTAATATTATCTTACATTGACGACTTACATAAATTAATTAATATACCATCACAAATTTTTAAAGGACTATTCAAAAATGATTATAACTCGTAGAGTATGTCAAATATTAAACTGCACATAATGTGGCACTGAGTTTCAGGAATTTAAAACAACTCTGTTCTTAATATGAACATATAGTACTTATCTTAGTTACTTAACTCAATATAAAGCAATACTTTTCGTAGATTTAAATCACGGAATGATTTTAATTAGACAACCATTAAAGGTTAAGTATCAAACGGTTCTTTCGTCTTATTATGGGACTCCTTCAGAGTGCCCGTCCACGACTGAACCTGTTATCAACACAGAACCTTCAGGGATTGGGTAGAATGGTTAGCCTTTAGGCTACTGAGTTGCTGTCAGATAGTTTATATTTTGAACTTCTATCAATTCATATTAATTTGTAAGAATACAAAATTGATCACAAAAGTCGTGACTAAGTAAGTTTTATTAATTTGATTTCATACGCTTGTATGGACATAGAAAGTTTAAAATATAGCATGTAATTTGTCATACGTGATTTAAGCTTCAAAAGTAGTTATCTTAAGTCTCAGATAATGAATCTATATTTGAAATTTCGAATCCCTGAACTAGACTAGCTTCCATTTCAGTATCTTCAAATGCTTATAATAAAAAAGGTGAATTTGTAAGCCATATCGTTTTTGAATTATGAACTTCTTTGTCTTAGAAGTGTTTACGGAAATCAGCCAGATTTTTTTACGAGATAACATAGTTCTGAGTACTACGTAGAATAAAGGACAAACGTGTTATCTTATTTCAAAACTTCTCACCAGTGTACAACTATGAACCCATATGGGATTGAATACAAAGTCTACTGGTTTCATATAAATCAGGACATATTTAAACCTTGACTTTGTTCAAGCAGTGAACAAATCTATTAACAAAATAGAAATTTTCACGTATTTTACGTATGAATTAAAAATCATAAAACAACCAATAAACATTAAAATCAATTTGAACTTTCATTTATCATTGCTACGATTTTTTTTCTTTCCTAAAAAGGAACTTAAACAACTGGACTGGTTGGTGGAATTACGGTGTACTAGTTCTGATGTACCAAATAGAGTAGGTGATCATATAGATGATATAAATGGTAATATTGTAAGTGATATTCTATCAGCTGGAGATCACACGACAGCAACAGCACATTCCCAACTTATTCATACAACATGGAAACCAGTATTCGCAGCTTTATCTGATAGAGATTTACTATTGTATGATACTGCTCCTACATCTAAAGAAGAATGGGCTAATCCTGTACAAGCACATCCATTAATTGCTACACGTGTTGTTCATGTTGATTTAAGAAAATCAATTCTGAATGATTCTCATGCACAAAATGAAATTGGTCGAAGATATCCACCTGGAGACATGGTCACATTTGTAACTAGAACAGGTGAGTATATTGCAGACGGTCGTTTCGTTATTTGATGTCAAATATATGAATTTATTAATTCCAAGAACTGCAATAACTTCTGAGGAATTTATGGAAACCTTACATTTATTCAATTTAGTTTAGTTTGTCCATGTTCTTCTGTTGAATATTTAGGTAGCAAACACGGTGTTGAATCTCATACATTTGCCGTATCTACTCAAGAGGATTTAATGACGTGGTCTAATGCAATTATTGAAGGCGCACATATGGCTGTAGCCGGAGCTCAAGAAGTAGTTATCACTTGCAGATGGCAAAATTATGATTGTCGTTTAACATTACACTATGATACTGGATTAAAATTAATCTCTTGTCAATTTCCTATAGAATCACATTCAATAGCACAATCTTATCCACATGGGAATATGACTAGTGGACATGTGATATGGGAGTATCCATATGAAAGGTTGAGGTCAACTGCAGATGATGGAAAGACAATTCTGTGGATCGATTTTGGACCAGATGGAGAATATGTAAGCAAATGGATAAAGACGGTTAATGAATAAGATAATACTTATTCAGTGTTTGTTTACTTTCAGCTATTTGTTGATTTGTGGCTTATAATTAGGTGATATTAATAACAAACACTTTTTTCAGTGTGTCTATTTATTTTATCAATCCCATACAAGTATGTTCATCTTGAATAGCATTAATTGTACCATGTTTAAAACAGCTAGTCACTTTGATAAACTTTATTAGTGCAGTGTGAAGACGAGATTTATCAGAACTATGTGATGCATATTGACACAATACATTTCGAAAAGTGTGATCACACATTAAATTGTTTATTTATATAAGTTATAAAAGATGAATTTAGACAAATGATCAAGGTCATCACTGTTGTGATAAAAGATTCTGTTATTCACCAAAATTTTAAACAACTTGTTAGCGTATAACTGATATCCTATTTGATTTACTAGTTTACACGCATATATGGATAGACTTACACAGAAAGAGTAATCGTGAATAATAAGCAAAGGTAGTTCTGCATCTGCCTAAATAACTGACAAAAGATTAAATTGCATTGACCTAGGAGGTAAGTACCAATTCTGTCCTATTTTTTGTCGTATAATTGGAATTTCGGTGAAATAACGGACCGATTGAGGTTAGACAATGATCTAAAAGCTGATAGGTTCGTGATTTTAATGAAATCCAACAACTTTCACAACTTTAACACTGACAATATGGTCGAAACGTCCATAGAATCCATCTCAACTCAGCATCTATAGTGCCTACGCAAAATGATCTAGGGTCCATACTTAGGTTTATTAAAGTCTTAGTTAAACGAAAGGTCAATTCCTCCATATACACTCGAAAGAGGTTTGTGCTTACGTTAAATTTACTTTGTTATTGTGTATTTTTGCTTAATATTGAAAGCGGTGAGTTTTTATGTTCCCATTTCATCTTGTCTGGCTTATTTATGAAAAATCAAAATATCACATAGTCTTGATAAATCTCGTTTTGTCACTACACCATCAACAAATCATGCTACCTATATTACAAAATTGATTGTAGGGGTATTTAAATATACAGAAGCACACTGTTTTCACTAAAATTGTATGAAACACCAGGATTAACAACTAAGAAATATGGCAAAGAGCTGTGCAGTTCTAATTATCTGGAATCAAAAAAGTTTATCTAAAGGTATATTCTGCTCTGATCATTACATAACACAACATTCAAATCGTTATAAGTTGTATATATTTTAGTAAAGAAATTGAAATGTGTATAATTCACGTCATTAGAAAGCGAAACCGTCATTTCTGGAAACAATTGGTGATAGTCATACAATATTTTAAATTAACTGAGTTTGAAAATGTAGATTATTAGATTCCAACTCACTGGTTTTACGGTTACTAGATAGTTTAAAAGCATGCCTACATCCTGGATAAGACCACTGCTAAGGTCATTAGTGCACAGAACCGAAGAACAGCTTCCAAGTATTTATCACTGTGTTTCAAGGATTCCGTAGCTGATGTTAATCCATGATGAAAATCATCTTTAACATAAGTGAGATTTAACAAAAATGAAAATTTATCCATGTTTTAGGTTGGAGTTATTACAGAATATTTAGTTTATTAGAAGAGAACACTAGTATAAATCGATGTTACTCATAATCTTATCTTTTTTAAATGCCCTATAATTTATACGTGATGATATAACTTCAAACAAAATATAACCTTAAACAAGATTTATTCATTAATATTAAAATAAGACCAGAATTACATGATTCAAGTTTATTCGCTACATTTAGGACTCACTCAAAACAAAGTATATAACTCATAATTCCTATTAAAATTCCTCTATTTAGTTGTAAGTTCCTTTTTTTCAATATTTACAATAAACAGATGGGATGAAGACACTACATAAGGAAAAAAACGTTTTTTTAAAAAAAACAATGTTCTTTAATTCAGTGTCTATTCTCTAGAGCATAAATAAACTGATTACAATATAATAAATAACAAAAAAGAAATGACTAAAAACAGAACTGTAGTAGTAAACAAGTCAAGTTTTTATCCAAAAATTAAGAAATTAACTTCATGGACATTTATTTGTCCACGAACTAGCTAACCGATACTTCTAATTATTGGATGATATTTGTATAGGGATAGTTAATCTTTTAAATAATGACACTCAGTAAATTTGTTTTTGTTTTAAAGTGAATATACAATCTCATATTTATTATTACAATGGATAACTTCAATCCTATTCAATATTCAATTTTACAATTATAGTTATGAAGACTAGATAAAGTCCCCATTTATCTAGGATAAAGTGGAAAGAACTAACGTTATAATCAGATGGATAGTTTTACATTTAGAAAGAAATCAGTCATGGAATTTTTTAAAGTTGTTTTAAGTCTTCATGTAGATGAGAGTAAGCAGGCTAGCTATTGTATACTTTGAAAGCAAACAATTGTCAGTGAACAACCATAATTTTTAATACCAAAAGTTTGAAAGTAACAAAATTATTTTAATTTTGCATTCCACATGAAGTTTTAGGAAATTGTTTAAGCAGCTGGGCATTCAGTTATAACTCACTGAACGAGACAATTATTTCAACTTATTTCAAAAATAATTTCTTTTGGAAGATTATTGTACGACATCTGATCATTCAACAAGCGGGTTGTTGATTAAAATGTAAATTACTATTGATTGGAAGTTCAAACTAAATTTGGTGAGCATAGGTGTACATCAACATCAACAGTATTCCTTGAGAAATTACATCTATGTTGCATTATTTCGAATTGTTTTGTAATTAAATATGAAGTCTATTGCTAGTTTCGTGTTCCTTTTATCTTTGGAAATAGAATCTTACAAAAATATTTCCAGAAGAGCGAAACCGAGTATTAACTTGTAATCCACTGAACGATATTGTTTTTCCTTACATATACTTCTTAACCAATGCCTTATGAGGCATACCTAATATCCAGTTTTCAATAAATTGTTTATACATATTAACAAAAGTTATAATTTGTTAATTGACAGGAATTAGATTTACTTGGATGTCCAAAGCCTGTAGTATTCATTCTACACAATATATTATCTGCCAAAGTAACGAGACGTGGATTATTTGGATAACAGAAGAAACATTTCGGGAAACATTTTATTTATTTGTCAATATAGAAACATACGCACACACTCCCATCTAGTTCTTAACAGCAATACAACGAATGGTAGTACAAGGAAAAGGACGGAAGCATATGTATATTGTATAATAAAATTCTACGTATGAATACATTGATAAATTAATATTACTAACTTCGAATAATATTTAATCTTTATTCATTTTTCAATTAAGCAATCAAAAAAAGTTATTATAGTCGTTATCATTGTGTACGATACATTCCAAATTTAAAAACATTTACTACTGACAAATCATCATTATTGTTCAAATTTGCGTCGAACAATCACTACATGGATATCTGTATAGAGAAGACGAAGTTCACTCTCCAATAAACACTTTACAAACTCTGAACCATGTGAATATCTTTTTGTTGTCTGATATTCTTTATTGCTACTTAGTTCCATTATCCCATCCCTTGTTTTCTCCTAACATTGTGTTGATTAGTTGGTTTTATTCCAATGTGAAATAAGTGTTTTATTTTCACTAGATGACTAGTAGATTCAAACAAAAAGGTTGTAATGACAAACGTAAAGAGAGCTGAAATGAAAGAAAAATATTTAGTTGACATTGGACCAGTCATTTTTATCATCGTAGTTGTTGCCGTCTTATGATTTTATTATTCTTCTGTGATACACTACCACTCGTTTTCCTTTCTCTTAATAAAGATGTATTTCTTTGACTCATATCGAATCTACAGTAAACTAAAATGTGACTGTTAACAATTATGCTGTTTTACTATTATTATTGTTAATGATTACCTACTTACTTGCTGGTCTACTTACTTGCTTTTTATTAGTAATTTATTCTCACTGTTCTTCTGTTTGTTCAATAACTAATCCAGTTATTGATTGAGTTTTGAAATGAAACTAAGAATGAATTGGTTTATCTTTTTCGTTTTTTGAATGTTCGTGGTTTCTGTGATCATTTTGAAAATAATGATCGTAGTGGAAGACATTCATCTGATAGTCGTATGTAGAGAATGTATCCTTTGCTGAAATCCTAAACATAATTATATCTTACAAAGTAAAAATTTACTGATACTTCAACAAGATTTTATCTTGCTTCTCATTTCGATTGAATAACAAGGATTAAGTGTTTAGTGTTTGCACTAAGTTTAGTATATATAAGCAACAGAAATAACAGTCATTTTTTTCACACGTGTTTTTAGTCGTGAACAGAATATGACTTTAATCTCTAGAAAAGCCCCTTCCTTACTTTTAATCACTTAACTCTTCAATGGACAAATTGAATAACTATTTGCCATTCACAGTGTGACTACATGTTAGTGTTGTAACATGTTTAAATTTGGTAAAAAATAACTTGACTACAAATTTTAAATGTCTATTTTTAGTAATGAGCAACTCAATATTTTTGAAAAGTGGGGGATTCTTTCATACTATTTTTACTGAATTAAATGACATTGATCCACAATGAAATCCTTATACGTGTAAAGTAGTTCGTGGAATATCATCAATTAAAAATAAAAATAGTGACCTAAAAGATGACAGGTAAGCTTTTATGTATGAGAAGGCAGTGTTTTCTCCGAATATCTTACTTGGTGTAATTCATTTATATCGACTATCACTCCATACTATCTATTGAAAGGGTAGCTCATGTGCGCTTTGTCTTGTAAAAGGCTTTTTAGATTTCGATTTTATGACCTAATCATTTACTAGGATTTCTATAGATTTCAGCAATGATCAAGCTGATCCATCACAACTTACAGCTCTTGTTAATCTTTGTTCGACTTTGGAGAAATTGATAGGCTGTTTTCATTCTTTCAAAAAAAATAGTGAGCGTTTACTGGGTGTCAAAACAGATTACAGACTAGCTTATAAAGGGTATCAGTGCACTGCATAAAGGTAAGTGGGGTCAACCTGTCATACTCTGGTGATTTGTTAGGCTATAATATAGTCATCACCAGCATAAGTCGATTGGCTTCCAGAACCTGTAGAATTAGGGTCTAGTTCGTTATAAGTACTGCTATAATAATAAACCTAACCCTAAGATTGTAGATTTGTCGCGAAAGAACGGCCTAATCTATGAGATCTTACATGGAAGTCATGTCACTGTCTACACTGACTCGCCGTGACATGACAATCAGCAATATGGTGTTTAGCACTTAGGAAGGACATATCTTGGCTGGGGATAGAAAAATATTTTTATTATGGAAAGGTATGGGTTACACAAGAATGACCACACCATGCTGATTGGTTCAATGAATGTTCTCGCGCTTGCCATTGCTGAACTTCCCCAAGTAAATATAAATCTATTCAGTAATCATATGCTCGGCTTCAAAAGGCGTATGGTTAGGAACCAACGCCACTGCAAACGTTTGAAAGACAAGCCTGTTTTGTAGGTTTCCCATGGGCTACTTTCAAATACAAACATTTTAAATCCGCTTGAATTTTAGGAGCGAAAGGCATCTGGTATAAAATTTCACCTTTTACATATTTTAGTAACGCCAGCCCCCAAAGATGTTTTCTCTGACCCAATGTTTTGGATATACCTCACCATCCAACCCGTCCTGGACTTGAACAAAACGTTTACTTCGTCATGCTTTTTGAAATCTGCGGAAGATCTGCCAAGTTGCCTTCAATAATAATTCTCTTAGATAGTTTTTTATTGGTGTCAGTAGAAAACGCACTCCAATGCTTCCGCTAGGTGAGGACCGGTGATAATTTTTCCTGGCAATAAGTTTCCCCGTAACATAGTTCTCAACACATTATGGTACCACGTTAATGCTTGTGCAAAACGTGGCTGTAACATATTTTTCCCGTTTAAGGAGCTTGAATTCAAAACATTTTGATAGACAGTATCCCTTCCATAAGAATGTAGTTCCGTTCAACGTTTTTATTTACTCGTGTTCTTAGACTGCCCATTTTGTTTGATACCAACTAGGTACCGTTTATCAGGACATCATCGTGGTAAACATATATTTATTAAGAGGTTTAGAGGTGGGAGATTATAGTTTTGATTGTAATACATGATAGAATTTTAAGCATTTTATCCCAGAAAAGGCATTTAGAAATTTTTTATTTACATCGACTTTTGCCTGAAGAGTGTTACATATCTTTCCCTGGTGTTAATAGGTACACCCTGAACTAGTTCCATCAAGGCACATTGGGTGATTATATTTACGTAGCTACATAGAATTTCGTTCTTCTATTGATTTAAACAATCACCCTTCATCTTCCTCAGTATTTGTCGCCTTGTTTGAACTGTACTGTACTTTGTTTACAGATTTCATTATCACACTTGTTTGAAGAAACATGGATTTTGCTTTCTAGTTAAACTGACGAACAGTGAGCACACTATGTTGTTTCTAAGTATGCTTATTGTCTCAGGTGAACATTGTGAGTCTTCTCAAAGTATAAGATGACTGTGTGATAATTTTACAGTTTCTTACATAATTAGGGTGGATTTATCCAACGTACTAATCTACATCGCGTGATGACGGTGGGATACATGCCGTTTTTGTCTTTTCTGTGAGTCATGACTGGTACTTAAAACTTAATGACAAGGTACGCATTCCGCACAAAATGAACATATACCAAAAGAAACTCATCAATTTCAGTTCTGAACATAAATCAGGAAATTTAAACAACCAGTAGAAATGAAACAAAATCAATGCTGTTCTCCTTAGTATCCGCCATTTTCATTCACAGCTTTTAAACGCGTTTCTCAACTTTCTGAGGTATAGCTATCTAGGAATTCATAGGATACCGTAACTATCGCATTTCAAAGGATAGTCTACAGTTTTTTAAGAAATATATCTGAGTAAAACGTGGAAACTAGTAAAAAATATTGTTGATTTTTTCGGCCTGAAATTACTCCAGTCTTGGCAGTAACTTTCACAATCTACCATAGGCGAAGCAGTATTTATGAAGATTCTATGTAGGTACCATTAGTGTGTTTTGCTGTTTACGAAATTTTATGCTGAGAGAGATGCTTGATGGAGTAATACTACTTCTCCGATATAGCCAAAGAGTAAGACGTGGCTATATTTTCATATTGTTTGGGATTTTTTGGTTTGGTTCACAGTTTTCTTTCAATCACAGAAAGGCATCCAAAAATTTTAGACATTGAGTGATTATAAACTGGTCGATTTCAGGCTTAAGCTGTAAACAAATTATAAATCAGGTTTAACCATTCCAGCCAATCGTCTAAAGATATGCCTCTCAGGGTAATCAACAGATTCCGATTATTGTCAAACAAATGCTCAATTTTCGGCATTCACATTCACGTGCATCTCATGAACTTTAGATCATGTGGTTAGGTTGCATGGACAGGTTTGAGTATAGTTGTTCAAAAGTTATGACTACTGTTCCCTCTTCCGTTGAACGTGAAGTGAATATGTGTGTGGACAAAAACCGTTTACCGTACGAATATCTCATGGATTCAAAAAAATGCTAGAATATTTGCAAAGTTTGGAACTATGCTTACATGGATTATTGTTAGCTAATGAAAAATACATCAATCTTGTCATGACATAAATATTTTATTAGCATGCAAGAATAACTAATAAACATTTCATCATTTCGAATAATAAATTTAGATCAATTTCAGGGGTCAGTGATCCTGTATAACCGATGTAATTCATGTAAAAAGCCATTTTGTACAATGATTCCATTTCAGCTCTGTGTGCTGTTCTGTTTTTGCAGACTCTTACTAGACATTACATAAATATCGATTAAAAATCCCAAGAAAGTTTGCTCATAAACCTTTTCTCTCACATCTTATGACTGATTATTTGTAGACACATCACGTACAGAGATATAAACGTCCGAAGACTCATTTCTGTGATCAGTTACGTGAAGGACCCAAGCCAAAACTTTCCGGAGGCTAGAAGAACATTGATAAGGAAGTTTAAGTGGTATGTCACAAAAAGATTTCCAATAACATTGTTCGAAAGATCCATTAATGACCCATCAAAGAGGTTCACAAGCTAGTTTTATATCCTGTGTTGTCAACAATTAGACCTCACAATCATTGCAGTCCTTTCCAATGGGTGAATGTCATCATGAAATGAAGGCACTGAAGGATCGTGGATGAGCAGTACTGAGTCCCACAACAGGACGAAACGGCCGTCCAGTACCTCCGAATTTCGCATGGTGGTTTAGCTTCAATTGACTCGTGATCTTAACTGTTAGAATTATCAAAAATATCTCCCTAAATATTTCACCACTTATTATCATGAGTCCCGACTACTAGAACATCTTGACACTTGCATTGTACAACTCTATATTTTTAAATGACGACAAATTACTGGTCAAAAGAGCCTAAACGCAGTGACTCTGCAGTGATTGTGATATGATCTTAGTAAAAAAGATTAGGCTATAGTGTTCAAGACTTCCACGATACACGAACAGTTTTATGGTTAAAAATGTATATCCGAATTCAATCCGAAAAATCAGTTACGATCAAACTGTAGAATACAGACCAAAGAATTAGGATGCCCTCATCGAAAAGAAACCAAGTTTTATTCTTACTTGATAGAGTAACTAAACTCACTCCAAGGTTATCAGCTGAACAACATGAGAAGACAGTCACAACCGCCAACGCCTAATATTTGTCGACAAAATGGGGATAATCAGCTGAAGGCAAAAATATTTCTGTCCTCGAGCAGGTAGACAGAATCAATAATTTCAAAAATCGATTATTACTTAGCGATAAATTGATACAGGATTTTCCGGATTATTAGGTTGAATGAAACAAGACCAGTTAAGTTTAACAAAACAATAAACATTAAGCGAAACGTTGGGAATGTTGAAATGTCAAGTACAATGATTTATGGTATTATCCTTTGAAAACGAAATATCATGGGATACTCTAGAACAGGGGTGCTGAGAATAGCAGTCTTACAGTCAAGATGAAACAAAAAGTTGTTATCATTTGGAAAGTGTTCATAGTATAGAGAAACGGAAGGATTAAGGAAGGTAGCTTTGTTTGCAATCAAATAACGAGCTGCTGGAGCATAGAATAAATATTAGGTGGACTTCCTCACAAACGCTCACGCATGTGTACAAACATAAAAGATAGTGCGACGGAATAGAGGTATCCGATTGCATCGATAATAATTTGTCAGAAAGATATCAACTGAATGTCTCAGTGATGATGACATGAGTAAAAACTTGTAATTGTCTAATGGAACAGAGGTGATTTTTCCATATATGGTGTATTGTTTATGAGTCTTTACACTTTGAAAAACGTCTTGATTAACATTAGAAAACTATGATATATCATGGTTTGACTGTCGAGTCGTTAGCTACCATCAAAGGGAATAGCCAAAGACTACGGATGATGTCTGCCACCAAGTCCTCTTAATAAAGGTAATTTCCATCTAATCTCTGTAAAACTATATAAATTTATACGGTTACTAAGATACTTGTTGGTTTCACCAATATCGATTATCATATTCTCGTCT